GCGGCGCGGTACCAGCGGCAGGCGTTCGTGCAGGCGAGGCTGAGGAGAGCGAGGGGTCGCGGCACGCCGAGCGTGGCCGTGCGCCCTGAGGAGCAGAACCCGCGAGCCTTGGTGTGCGTCCCCCTCGCCTGCCTCGTTGAGCAGCTCTTGCTTTTTTCATGTCTCGTCCAGGCAGTAGCCCACGCTCCTCATGTTCCCCAGCACAGACCGCCCCGCAATACCCCCAGTTTCCTCCCATGGCCTTAACACCGTTTGTTGGTGGCCGGGTATTCCCCGCTGCCTCACTTGTTTTACTTGGCTCACTCCTTGCACAATACCTGCAACTTTTTCGCGTGTCCCATAGGGTCACCGCTACGGTCATGACTTTCTGCCCCCTCTCACCTACCTGACTGGCTGGGGCAGCTGAGAAAGTGGCACTGCAATGTGCTGGGTGGCCATCTGGTACCTCTGCGGATGGGCTTGCTGGCCTTGCGGGGCAGACAAGCCTGCAGCTGTCTCTGCCTTACCTGCTGTGGGAGCGCTAAGAAGGTCTCTGCTGTGCCTGGCTACTTGTTTTCACAAAGCTTAGAGGAGTGCGGTATTTCTGAGCCCCCTCTTTCAAAAACTGGCAGTGGTTTTAGTCATTTAAAGGGCGTTGTGACAAGGATGTCAGAGAGCAAATTCTGTCAGAAAAGGCTGATCTACTTAAGAAGTCAAAGACATGAGCAGCTTCTGGTGAGATGACTGATGCAGCACGGGGCAGGAGGAGTGAGCGCTCAGTGAGCGGCAGAGGCTGCTGAAGCCGTTTACGACTGAAGGGTGAACTAACAGAGGAAATGCAGCCTGCCTCTACTCTTGTGATTTGGCCCACTGGATCGGCCTCTGACTTAAAATATGTGGCCGTTCACAGGCTTCTCCTCCTTTCTTTCCATGTGAGCTTCCTCATGACTGCAGGCAGTTTGGGACTTGCTGCCTTCGGTAGGGCCCCTTTGTGATTAAGGGAAAGCAGAACTTGCTCAAAAACAATCATTGGATGCACATAATCTTAACTTAATTCAGCCTCCATTTCACATGTGGGAAACTCCCCGTTTATAAAAGCAATGAAGATTTGCATAAATCTGCTGTTTGAAATAAAATTCAGGGGCAGTTACAGCAGCATTCTGCAGAGAAAGCTATTCATGTGGACGTCAGGTAAGGCAAGCAGTTCTTTAATAACTTGTCTATTAGTGTCTGAAGTTTAGCGTGAATTCTCAGAGCAATTGTGGGCTGACCTTTTTCCCAGAGAGAAGCACCAAGCCTTTGTCAAGGTTGGAAGAAGAAATTTTAGGCCAGGTTGTCCCTATAAATCAGAAGCTCCACAGAGCAGATTTTACAATTTGCACCACTTATGATATGGCCCCTGCATTTATGTCAGTCCCGAGACAGAAATGACAGCTGCGCGTCCAACGTGTAGGAGCAAAATGCTTTTTACCTACTCCTGTATCATTATATCCCTAAAGCAAGTAAGTAAAGCCGTATAAAGCAAAATGACAGGAATGGTGAAGCCTTAGCTTATTGCCACTGTGATTATTATTCCCTAATTTGGGGACTCCTTTCCCCTTCCCTTTGAGACCAGTTGGCAGTTTTCCATTCACTTCAGTTTGAGCAGGATCAAGCTTGTTGATAATTACTATCTGATTGTGCTGTGCAATAAAAAAAGGTAAGAGGCAGCCAAGAAACACAAAGAAGAGAAAATAAGTATCTCAATCACCAGGAAAACATGGGAGAATTAATTTGTTCCTTCATGAATCATTACTATATTCTTCAACTCCTCTAATGTAATTTTCCAGCAGCTCAATGAGTTTGCAGCATGTGCACTTGTGTACTATATTTGAAGTAGCTTTTGTAGTGTGTTACCGCCTAGATTTTGAGATTCTCAGTAAGACCCATATTGACCATCTTTATTGCCTTCTGATGCTGCTTTTGTACTGCTACTTTGACAAGGGATGATGCCTGCAAGTAGGACAACATTCTTATAAAAAATAATTCTGCGTTGTGGGGACCTATTGTTGAAGACTCTGCTGGTGCTGTATGGAGACTGCTGCAGTTGCGAAATCCAAATGTGCTCTAGGTGGCCAGCACTCTGAGAACAGCAGGTTTTAGTAGTGAAGGTTCCAAGGATTTTCTTTTTGCCCGAAAGAGGATTTTTTCATGTCCAGTGAGTTACTCTCTTGTTTACTGAGCTCTGTCGATTTTCTTTTAAGAACATGAATTCTTGGAAGAAGGGCTTCACTTTACTTGGAAATATGTATTGTGGTGGGTAGGCTGATGCACACAGTGGGAAAAAGTGTTAAAACACGCATGTGAAAAAGAAGAGAGCTGTATCTTATCGGCTCCGTTCTCTGAGCAGTGAGTCCTGAAGGGAGAACGCTCTGATTATATGGGTCTTGGCCGGATGAATTGAGATGAAGAGCTAGGCGATGCAGAGGCTTTTTATAAAATGTCTTTGTGTAGACTGACTGTAGATTTGTCAAAACATACTTTGTTCCTGATTTTGTTCCTGACCTTTATGTAATCTTTGGACAAAATACATAGTTAATTAGAACTGGTAAACAATAGTGACAATCGCCCAAGAAAATTGTGAAAAAAATCATCATTTTAAAGGCATATCGATGCTGACGTGTACTGAATTTTTCAACTTTTTTCTATGATTTCTTTAATCATCATACAGTCATGACAGTTTTCACTGTCATATGACTTCCTTCAGTGTTTTTTGAGATAGAGAGCTATCTGAATCATGCTATTTCCTCATGACTGTAATGTATGTGGGTGAGGATATCTACAGAAACAACAGAAAAACAGCATGTTTTTCCCCACACCACAGACAGATGATACTTTTCCCAGAACAAGCTGAGCTTCCAAATAGACTTGGGCAGCCACACGGAAAGGGGGTGGACTCCAGCTGGCTGTATATCCTATTAATTCAAAAGGTGAAGACGACTTCCTCAGTTAATGTCTTCTTCGAAGTATGATTAAGTAAGATAGTAAGCACACTTTGGTTGGATGCTTCCCTGAATCTGAACTCAAAAGTAAGTTGTTGTGCCTTTCACCAGATAACATGTTGTATGTAATGTTTCTTTCTCTGTTTGTCCTTTTAAAGGTATTTAGATGTACTCCCAATATTCTACACAGAAGATAACTCTCTGTCAGTAGGATTAGCAGGTTCCAAAGCTTTACTTTCTAGTGAACTGAAAAGCATTTATTGCACCTTTCAGTAAAGTATAGAAAAGCATCCTAAGTTAAGACCTTTAGTTACGTGAAGGAAACTATTCAGTAGTAATTTTGCAAATTTCTGAAGAAGTATTTATTTGCTAGTAGCCCCATCTGATGCTTTATAGGTGGCTGGTTACCAATTGTTCTCTAGCTAAGAGTGATCCATGGTATTTGACAAAGTTTCCTTGGCCAGGAAAAGAGGAATAATTTTTTAAGTCTGTCTGGGAGAATATGTACATGGCTCTATCAACTGGTAAATCAAATGCTGCTGTCAGACAGAGCTGGTCCTAGTTAAATCAATGGGGAAAACTGAGTTCTGTGATGATCATTTCTTATTAACCTTATACGCTTTGCCAGTCTGGGTTTTACTTGCATGCTGACTCACTTTGTTTTGTTTAATGTTCTTTAGTTGTCTCCATGCAAATGATGCAGTTCATATTTTAAAATAATTCTTCTTGTTCCTGCACATGTAGAGAAATAGCACCTATTTGATCTGTGTCAATGGAAAGGACATCCACTGCAGAGTACGCAGTGTTACCATTTAATAAGTATGCATTTTCTTTTTTTTCACTGAAGAAACATTTGTTAGAGTTCAGTCCTGTGCATAATAAGGCTTGTAGGATAGTGAGGTTTGGGCTAGGTATCAGTACCAAAAGCAGTCTATGGGTATCCCAGTTCTGTTTTAACGCACTGATAAAGGCAGAATTAGAGCTTAAAAGTTGATACACTATTTCCTTAATGGCACAAAGAAAGTGTACAGCTGAAACCTGCTCAGCTCTTGATTAGCAGCTGCAGCTTGCCACCTCTTCAGACATCAATAAGCTGATTTCCATTCGTCTGCTTAATGA